CTTGCTCAGTGTTATAGATCAGCTTTGGCCCTGGCAACCCACCAAAATTCTCCACTATCCAGTGGGGCTGAAACCACAGCTTCTATGAAGCCTGAACCCCAGACTTAGATGTGGGGCCCACCTTCAAAATGTATCCTTCCTTGGATACTCTGTCTCAGACTTTGGGTACTCTTCGGAGTTCTTTTACATCTTATAGTTACTCTTGTACCATAGTTTAATATTTCTTTATACTCCATCTTGGTCCACAACTGGAAGTAAAATATATCCTTTAATAGCCACATTAAATATTTACATTAACTATAATTAATGATGTATTAGGATTTATTTCTATACTCTTATGGAAATTACTTTTTAAGCAAATGAGAGGGAAATTGGATATAATGTCACTTAGTCACAGGGCCACGATTGGCAAGGGAGAATGGGAAATTTGGTAGCTAGCTGGGTAACCAGATGCCCAAGAAAGAAAAAAAAGAGAATTTTGGCAGTGTGCCAAAATTATGGTACATCAATAAAAGAATACTATATAGCTATAAGAATAATATGCCACCATAAAAATGAGGAAACTCTTCATGTATGAGAGGATCTCTGGGACAGAATATATTTTCTAAAAATGTGCACCAAAATGTATCTCATCCTATATGCTCTACTTACAATGTGACATTCTCCCATTGAGATGTAACTGCCTAAACCAATAGAGAATGGCAGAAATGAGATTATGTGACTTCCAAGGCTAGGTATGGAAGCATGTTTATGGCATTTTCCAAAAATGGCCACAATATATCCCATCCTACTCTTCTTACAATGTGACACTTCTTCCATTGACCTATAACTGCCTCAACCAATGGAGTACAACACAAGTGATGTTATGTGATTTCTGAGGCTAGACCATAAAAATTACATGTGCTTCCACCTTGTTCTTTGGGACACACTTTTGGAACCCAAGTCACCATGCTAAGCAGCCTCATAGAGATATCACACGTAGGTATTCCGGCTGACCACCCTGAGGTCCAGCTGACAGCCAGAATCAACTGCCAGATGTGAGCAAGTGAGTCTTCAGGTGATGCCAGCCTTCAGCCATCAAGTGACCGCTAGCTTTCAAGCCACCCCATCTGAGGCTGTGTGGATCAGAGATGAGCTGTTGTTGCCAAGCCCTGAACAAATTTTTGTAGATGTGTCAGCTAAATCAATGATTATTGTATTTTAAGCCAAGTTTGGGGTGGTTGGTTGTTATACCCCAATAGAAACTGGAACAATTGCCCAAATTGTAAGTGAAAAAGCAAGGCACATTTTAAAAACAGAATATACAATTTACGTATTTTTAAAAAGCAGATGGAAAAAGAGAACTACATTCTAGGTATGTATAGATATATTTTCATAACATATATAGTTTCATATATATATTTGGAAAAATTACATAAATGGGTTATTTCCTGATGGATCTGTACCATAGCCTGGGAATTGTTTGGGAGAGTTGAATCGTAGGCTGTTGCAGGCTACGATTGGGTTTTATTAGCAGTACATTTCCCTCAAACACTCAATAGGCTTTCAAACTGTTTGCTACTGTTTAATTACAATGCCAAAGATCTGGTGTAAATATAGTTTTAAGCCTGATTATTCCTTTTGCTTACTGGCCCCTTTGCTCTTTCATTTCCCTAGCCCTCTAATGTTCCCAGGCAATCATACTGTACATTAAATATCTCACTTTAGTGACTATTTCATATTTCTTTTCTTTTAAACCCCAAACTTTTCATCTTCCTTACTTTCAGCTAACCTTGCTGACCATTTCATGAAAGCACTGAAGGAATCAGAAGAATGCTTCCCAAGACTTCTTCCATCTCATCTACCCACTTCCCAGCATCTGCACCCCATATTCTGCCGTTCTATTGCCAGGAATAAACTTTCCATGATGTTATGTAAAGCTAATCCCTCCATCCACTAAATCTTATCCCCTCTCACCAACATAAGGTCATTGCTCCAGTGACTCTCACTTCTTTGTCCTGAATCATTTTCCTTGCTCTACTGGAATATTCTAATCAGCATACAGAATTGCTATTACTTCTCTTATTCTGAAAACAAACAAACAAAAACACTCCTATTCCTATTTCCACACTAATTATTAACCTATTTCTTTGCCTTTTGCAACAAAATGCCTCCAAGCAGTTGCTCTATACTCACTGTCTCCAATTTCTTTTATCAGGTTTTACTTCAGTCACTCAAAACAAATCAACACACAAATACCCCTCCTCTTCTTAAGATAATAGATAATAATTCAACAATATCGATATTGTTAAATCCAATAGCCAGTTCTCAAGCCTTGTATTATGTAACCTGCCAATGGTATCTGATACCATTGATCTTCCTTCCTTTGACTCACTTTCACTTGGCTTCTGTAATGCCACACTATCTTGGTTTTCTTTCCATCTCACTGGTCCTCCTTAGCATACTTGGCTGGTCTGTCCTTTTATCCTTGAACTCAATGCTGGAATGCACTGTGGATCAGTCTTGGCTGTTCTTCATTTCTCTGTCTACAGTCAGTCAGGTCCTTAATGATTATCCTGCCTCATGATTTTAATTAAGTATAGACAATAACTACCAAATTAATATAATCTCTAGAATAGTACAAGCTAGAACATCCAAGTGCCTACTCAATATTGTCATTTTGTGTCTAAAAGACATTTCAAACTCCACATGTTCAAAACTGAACTCCTAATCTTCCCCCACAAACCTGACAGAACTGTAGGTTTGCCTATCTCAGCTGATGGGAGCACCATCTTTCCAGTTAGAACCACAACCTTTGAATCAAAGTCATCCGGGACTTTTTTCTTTCTCTCACACCTGACCTCTAACCCCTAAACAGATCTTGCTTGTTCCATCACATTTACATATATCTAGAATCCAACCACTTCTCAACATTGTTACCACCCTGGGCTGAGCCACTATCATCTTTCATCTGATCTAATGCCATAGCCTCTTATCCCCTTAGTTTTTTTTTTTACAATACAATAGCAGCATGTCAGATCAAGTTCTCTGCTCAGAACTCTCCAGTGGCTCCCCATTTCCCTCAGAATAAAATCCAAAACGCTTACAATGACTTACAAGGCCTTACAAGATACAGTCCTGCTCTCTCTGAGCTCCTCTATCAATCACTCCCTTGCACAGACCTGCCTGATGGTCCTCAAATACACCAGCATAGTCCCATTGTAGGGCCTCTGCTCTAGCTTTTTCTTTTGTCTGGAATGCTCTTCCCTTAGAGAACCACTGACTTACTCCTTCACATCTTCAAATCTTGACTCAAATCTTTCCTTCTCCCTGGTCTATTCTATTTCATTGGTCATTCTATTTCATACAGCAACCTAAAATGTCATACCCCTCTCGACTCCTTTTGAACGACCTTTTCCCCCATACTACTTATGTTCTAACATACTATACAATTTATTTATTATTATTCTATCTCCTCTTGCTAGAATTGCTCATTGATATATCCCAAACACCTAAGATAGTGGCTGGAATATAGTAAGTATTTAATAAATATGACTAATTTTAGAACAATAGGTTTGGGTGGGGAAAGCATTTTAAACTCATCTTTACTAGCAGACTCACTGCCTTTGTATGGATGGGGCAATGGTCTCATTTTTTGTTCAGACTGCTACTTTATTTTTTTTGGTGAGGAAGATTGGCCTTGAGTTAACATCTGTTGCCAATCTTCCTCTTTTTGCTTGAGGAAGATTGTTCCTGAGCTGACATCTTTGCCAATCTTCCTCTATTTTGTACACGGGACGCCACCACAGCACGGCTTGATGAGCAGTGTGTAGGTCCACGCCTAGGATCCAAACCCCCGAACCCCAGGCTGCAGAAGTGGAGCACATGAACTTAACCACTATGCCACTGGGCCGGCCCCTCAGACTGCTACTTTAAATCACTATAGGTGGCTTCAGTTAAGGGTATAGAATCAGTTTAGCATTTTGAATCCCACAAGTTTCAAAATTATGAATTTACTGACTACCTGGATTGAGCGCCTGCATGTAGAGATAATATCTCAACAAAGCAATATCACTTTCAATCTCTGCTAGCGGCCTCTGTAGCTAACTCTACACTAAATTCATCTCTTTCACAGGACATTAGTGAGAGCAGCAAGAAACATCCAACACACACATTCTGAGTCACTCCTAACATTTCCCCTAACATTACAGCTTTAATTGACACAAGATCTGCCTTGTAAGATAGAGTGGAAGGGAGTATGACCAAATGTCCCATCTATAAAAATAAGCATCTTCAGTTTTCTAGCCTGAAGTGGATATATGCTCATTCTTGATGGCTCTAAGTCAATCCACATCTGGGATTTCTTCAACCCACAGCACTCCACTTCCAGGTACAAAATTTTACATCCTTAATAATTTTTAGGGTCAATAACAGCATCAACAAATAAGAAATTTATGTTAATTTTATATAAAGAAATACAGGAGGCAGGTAGACCAGAGTTGGTATGGCTGTTCCATAAAATTAGCACAGGTGTAGACCCGTTCTGTATTTTTTCTCTATCATCCTTAATACCCAGATCCCGTTCTCAAAGTCCCCATAAAATTGTCAGGGCTGCAGATTAAATGTTCACATTGTAGGCAGGGAAACGAAGTGCAGAGAGGAAAAAAGGATTTCTTAAATGTCCTACTCATACAAATACCACTTCTATCTTGTTGACCTGCAAGGGAGGCTGAGAGTTTTTCAGCCAAGCATTCTATTATTAAAGAAGGGAAAATGGATATTGGGTAGGGAAACAGCAGTCTCTGACACAGACTCTCATCATTTTTCATTGCAAAATAGTCTGTAATGTAAGTTTTTAATTTTAATTCAAAAGCTGTACATTCAAGTTTAAAAAAATTTCCTAGTAGAAAGATTTATTTTGGCTATCCATTTTTTTTCATTGTTAAATAATATTCTTGAATTGTGGTCAGAGATGGTAGAAAATACTGGTTTTTGGACTTTCTTATAGTTCACATTCCTTCAACAATCCACTGATTAAATCTGAAGGGTTTTTTACAGTATGAATTGCCTCCTACAGCACATGGGATGAGATATGACTAGAGCTTTCTTGCATTCATTACAGCATACAGTACCCCTCACTCAAATAATTGGGGTTAAGAGTTATGAAAGATTTCTCAATATTTATTTTATTCATGTGTCCTCCTCTCATGCAAATTCTCTAAAATAACACTACTAATAATGATAGCTAATATATGTGATATGCTATGTTCAAGGCACTGTTCTAAGAGCTTTACATGTAATAACTCACATAATACTTCCAAGAATCTTATAAGGAAGGTATTATTCATAGGTCTATCTTACAAATCATTAAACCAAAGCAGAGGTTAATTATCATGATACATGTCACAAAGGAAAGCAATTGGTAGAGTCAAGATAATGTTGAAAAAGACATATGCCATGGCTAAAGGCCTTCCTATATTTACTACATTAACAGAATTATTCTCTATATAATTTGCTAAAGTTTAACAGGTTCCAGTAACGATAGGTTTTTCTACATGGATTACATTAGCATTATCTTTCCCCCATATAAATTTACTGATGCTGAACTTTATGAGGCAAATGTGCTCCCATATTCACATTTTAAAAATTATTTGATAATAATGGATTAATGACCAGAGAAAGCTCTCCAAATTAATCACAAATAATCAGGTAATTCATATATAAACTTGTGAGCCATGACTGAAGTCTATCCCACATTGCTTATATTCAAAAGATTTCTCACTGATATGAATTCTCTGATGTTGTGTTAGTTGTGAACCACGAGTAAAGGCCTTCCCACATTCCTTACATTGATATGGTTTCTCACCGGTATGAATTCTTTGATGTCGAGAAAGATGTGAGCTCTGAGTAAAGGCTTTTCTACATTCTTTGCATTCATAGGGTTTCTCACCAGTATGGATTCTCTGATGTAGAGTAAGTTGAGAGCCATGACTAAAGGCCTTCCCACATTCCTTGCATTCATAGGGTTTTTCTCCAGTGTGAATTCGCTGATGTTGAGTAAGTTGTGAACCACGAATAAAGGCCTTCCCACATTCCTTACACTGATATGGTTTCTCACCTGTATGAATTCTCTGATGCTGTATAAGTAGTAAGCCACGAGCAAAGGCCTTCCCACATTCGTTACATACATAGGGTTTCTCACCAGTATGAAGTCTCTGATGTTGAGAAAGATGTGAACTCTGAGTAAAGGCCATTCTACATTCTTTACATTCATAGGGTTTCTCACCAGTATGGATTCTCTGATGTTGAGTAAGCTGTGAGCCACGAATAAAAGACTTCCCACATTCTTTACACTCATAGGGTTTCTCACCAGTGTGAATTCTCTCATGTTGAGTAAGTTCTGAGCCACGACTGAAGGTCTTCCCACATTCTTTACATTCATAGGGTTTTTCACCAGTATGAATCCTCTGATGTCGAGTAAGGAGTGAGCCACGATTAAAGGCCTTTCCACATTCCTTACATTGATAGGGTTTCTCACCAGTATGAATTCTCTGATGTTGAGTAAGTTGTGAACCATGACTAAAGGTCTTTCCACATTCCTTACATTCATAGGGCTTCTCATTGGTATGAATTCTCTGGTGTTGAGTAAGTTGTGAGCCACGGATAAAGGCCTTCCCACATTCTTCACATTTATAGGGTTTTTCACCAGTATGAATCCGCTGATGTTGCATAAGTAATGAGCCACGAATAAAGGCCTTTCCACATTCTTTACATTCATATGGCTTTTCCCCATTATGAATTTTCTGATGTTGAGAAAGCTGTGAGCCACAAATAAAAGCTTTCCCACATTCCTTACATTCATAAGGTTTTTCACCAGTATGAATTCTCTTATGCAGAATAAGTTGTGAGAGCTGAGTAAAGACTTTCCTACATTCTTTACATTCATAGAGTTTCTCACCAGTATGAAGTCTCTGATGCAGAGTAAGTTGTGAGTTCTGAGTAAAGGCCTTCCCACATTCTTTACATTCATAAGGTTTCTCACCAGTATGGACTTTCTGATGTCGGGTGAGTTGTGAGCTACGAATAAAGGCTTTCCCACATTCTTCACATTTATATGGTTTTTCACCTGTATGAATTCTATGATGTAAAATAAGTTGTGAGCTCTGAGTAAAGGCCTTCCCACATTCCTTGCATGCATAGGGTTTCTCACCAGTATGAAGTCTCTGGTGAAGACTGAGCTGTGAGTCTCGACTAAAAGCTTTCCCACATTGCTTACATTCATAGGGTTTTTCACCAGTATGAATACTCTGATGTTGGGTTAGGTGTGAGGCTCGTCTAAAGGCCTTCCCACATTCCTTACATTTATAGGGTTTCTCAGGAGAGAGACATCTGGGATGTTGAGATAAGTAAGTATGCTGGTTGAAAATGGACATTTTTTCATATATGATCATCCCTTGCCTGAAATATTCCTTTTGATTTTCTTGTTGCTTTTCCAATGTGCCTTTGACTTCCAAATAATCTCTGGAACTGGACTCAAGATCACAGTTTTCAAGCCTGGCACTCATTTTCCATTGGGATAATTCTCTTTCATAAGTGTCCTTTTTTAGACGTAAGTTCGTGTTTGCACTCCTTGAAGGCAAATCTGAAAAATATAAAATGTCTGTTGTCATTTTAGAAGAGGGAGAACTTCCATAGTAGAAAAGACTATATATGAAAAAATATATATGGAAATAATACCCATAAGAAATAACTGGCTTATATCAGTTTTACAAAATTTTTCAAATATTGTTTACTATGACCTATAGTAATACCTACTTACCTTTCACATTACAACCTGATACATAAATAGTTTCATAAAACAATAACTACCCTGTTTTCTAGTCTATTCTACCCTATTCTAGTCTTCTCTTTTTCCCCCCATACACACACACACACACACACACAGTCAAAACCCACTAAACTGATTTCATGCTGCAGTAGAGTTTGAAAAAATATTAGCTTAGAATGATCTCATATATTAACATGTAAAAAGGGCACATGAGAGATCAGAGAATAATGAAAACTCACAGAGAAGATAAGGGAAGAGATTAAGAAAACTTTTTAAGTCAGTGGTTCTCAAACTGGTGGGGATAAAATCACTCGGGGACCTTGTTAAAATTAAAGATGCCCAGATACCACACCAGACTAACTAAATCTGAATCTAGTGAATCAGAAAAAGAGCATGGAGATCTCTAGTTTTAATACTTTCCACCAACTGATTCTTATTCAGATTCAGATCATGATTTGCTATCTCTGCTTAAAACTTCTAAATAACTTTCAAATTAAACTTAGAATAAAATCCAATGCCTTCCATGACTTTGACAAAGCCCTCCATGGACTGGTCCCTGCTTATGTATCTGATTTCCCCATAAGCCTTCTCAGCTTTGCTCCCTATTTGCCAAACATGCTAGACTCCTTTTAGCTCTGAAAAAGTCACAAAGCCAATTTCAACTTACAACTAGCTAGATCCTGTTCCATGTCTTTGGACTGCTTTGTATGAGATACTCTACACAGTCTGATTCTTTCTCATCCTTCAGGTCTCAATTTAAATACCATTTCCTGAATCTTACCAATCCATTTCTGGTAACAGAAGACTAGGTAATATAAACCAACCTTCCTGACAAGAGCAATTATACAAATTGCACACAATATAAAAAGGCTCCTGATGAAGGCATTGGAGAATTAACATTGGAATAAAGAGTTGCTCGGCTTGGGCTGGCCCCGTGGCTTAGCGGTCAAGTGTGCTCGCTCTGCTGCTGGCGGCCCAGGTTCGGATCCCGGGCGCGCACTGAGGAACCGCTTCTCCAGCCATGCTAAGGCCGTGTCCCACATACAGCAACTAGAAGGATGTGCAGCTATGACATACAACTATCTACTGGGGCTTTGGGGGGGAAATAAATAAATAAGTAAAAAATTAAAAAAAAAAAAAAAAAGTTGCTGGGCTAAAAGTTAAAAAATATGAAAACTCAGAGAAATAAGCCCAACATTTGGGGCCACTTTTCCACTTAGGGAGTTCTTACAATTCTAGAAAAGGCAATTGAGATATGGAGAAACTACACAGTGTTTTGGACCATTTCATAGGGCTTGGGTGACAATAACTGGAAAACAGGGCCCACCATAAATTCTCCATATTTTGGGCTGGGAACCCTGAGGGCTACAATGAGGAACAAGGGAGAAACAGTAAACCAGTCTGGGCAGGGTCTGAAGCCTGAATCATCTTTCAGTCATCTCAAACCCAGAAATCTAGACTAAGGTAATTCAAGATTGCTTGCCATAGCAACCCTAAATCTTCATTGAAGGTGTATAACATCATCCAAGGCTTCAATTACTTTTATAATTTTTATTTACAATATCTAGCACTCAATAAAAAATAACCATGTGAATGAGGGTACAAGATAACAACTGAAAAACAGGAGAAAAAAGATAAAAGAAACAGATCTATAAGGGCTCAAGTCATGTATCACCACCGCAGTAATGATACACAACAGTTCTATCACTCCTACACCTTTGTAGTGAACCTCTCCTCACCCTACGGGTAGATGCCTGGAAACCACTGATCTGTGGCTTCCCCAACACCTCCCTACAGATGGAAACAAAAGTATATTCATACTAAATCTAAGATAAAAATGGAAAAAGTGATCATATGTACCTCTCCAGTTGCCTTGCCTCTTGCATACTGCTTCCTAGGTACTAGCCAGGGTTATTTTCTTTAGTTCTCCCTATCCTTTTCAACCAAAATACCAAGTTGCTTTTGTTTACTTAAGTCTTTACTTCAGAGTCTGTTTTGTTTCTTTATGCCCTGTCTCCTGTCTTCTCTTATTTACTCTTCTATCCAAGGCCAATTCTTATTGTTCATCCCAGAAGAATATTTATCATTTCTCAGCTACTTCTACACGTCAAAGATGTAATGAATGATTTCTGTAATCTTGTGGAATGTTGGGGATGTTGAAGAGAAAAAAAAGCAATTATTGAATATAAAGGAAGGAATCTGGAGTGATAAAGTTCCAGGAATTCTATTTAAAAAAGAGTATGTTGGATAGAAATATAGATCAAGAAAAAGAACACAAAAAAATGTCATACACTGCTAATGGGAATCCAAAACAGCACAACCACGATGAGAGAGAGTTTGGTTGTTTCTCATAACATTAAACAGACACTTATATGATCCAGCAGTCATATCTGTAGGTATTTACACTTTGTCCAGACAAAAATCTGTACACCAAAGTATATTATAGCAGCTTTACTCAAAATTGCCCCAAAATGGGAAACCTAGATGTCCCTCAAAAGGTGAATGAATCAACAAACTTTAGTATTTCCAAACAACAGAACACTACTCAGCAATAAATATCGATTCATGCAACAATATAAATAAATCTTAAATATGTTTTACTAAGTGAAAAAAGCCAGACCCCAAAGGCTACATATTTTGATTCCATTTATATCATATTCTGGAAAAGGAAAAACTGTAGACATGGAAAATAGGCCACTGGTTTTCATAGGCTGAAGAAGGACAAGGGGCTGACAACAAAGGGACAGCATGAGGGAATCTGACGGTGTCATGGAACTGTTGTATATTATGACTGTGACAGTAGATACACTTGATATGTAAATGGTGCATCATATTTCCTGAAGGACACCAATAAATGTTGGATAAAACATAACAAACAACCTTCTAAAAGTTGCCAAGCTTAAAAGAAAATAAAGAAGATCCACAGGGCCCACAATGAAGTGAGAACCAGAAACGAGAGAGGTAAACATGCTTTGAAGCCACAGCTACCCTAGGGACATTTGCTGTCTTCAGCTGCCTACATGTGAATCTTAATGATCTAAAAAAATCAAGAGACAAGGACTTGGGCCAACAATAGGTCAGGGATTAGAAATAAACCTCTTGGGCCGGCCCGGTGGCTTAGCGGTTAAGTGCACGCGCTCCGCTGCTGGCGGCCCGGGTTCGGATCCCGGGCGTGCACCGACGCACCGCTTCTCCGGCCATGCTGAGGCCGTGTCCCACATACAGCAACTAGAAGGATGTGCAGCTATGACATACAACTATCTGCTGGGGCTTTGGGGGAAAAAATAAATAAATAAAAATCTTTAAAAAAAGAAATAAACCTCTTTACAAATTTGGAACCATCCAAAGCCTACAGCGCAGAGGGAGGAAAAAAAAATTCCTCTGGCTTCAAAGGCAAATGACAAGGAAATCTTAGTCTTAGCCATTTTAAGAAATGTGACTTTTACTGAGATGGGGAGCCATTGGAGAGTTGTGAGCAGCATGACAAGATCTGACTTTCGTTTCAAAATGAATCATTCTGGTTGTTGTGTTGAATTTTTTTTTTTAAAAACAGATAGTCAGTGGAAAAGTACAGAAGCTGGGTAGACAGAAGTTAGGAGCAATAACACACATGGCTCGGACCAGATGATTGTAGAGGAAGGGGTGGAGAAAGTGAGATGTGACAAGAAATTTTCACATATTGACATATATGGGGTAGCAGCTATTCTGGTTTAAACCTGATTCAGCCTGAACTAAAACAGGCCTGACTTATGGCCTATCAAACATACATTGTACATTTGCTTTAACCATTAAAGTAAAGAATGCATTAAACATTATCTCAAAGTAAAAGAATGCACTCTTTGAAGGATGCATACTTCCTTTCCTACAATACCAGTATCAGTACTCCTGAAGGTAAGTTTCCTTTCCTGGACATCAGGGTCATTTTGACCTGCTAATCTGCAACTGAATACCTCTTTGAAACTGATGAATATGTATCCTGGGCATGTCTGATGTATGTTCTTTGTTCTAAAATGGTATAAAATTGTACTGAAAACCATGCTTCTCTAGAACGCTTTCTTCTTTTGTGGAGACTGCCTTCCCAGATGATAGTCCTCAGCCTGGCTCAAGTAAAATTCACCTTCTCTCTCTTATCTATAGAATGGTTATTGGTTATTTGAGTCTACAGATGTCACTGGATTCTGGATATATTTTGAAGGTTTAATGAAGAAGATTTGATGATGGATTGGATATGTAATATGAGAGAAATCAAAGAAACTCTTAAGTGTTTTGCCTGAGCATCTGGAACAATGGATGTGCCATTTACTGAGAACTTCTCATTGTAGTAGGAGCAGGTTTGGGAGAGAATATCACAGAGTTTGGTTTTGAACTATTAGATATTGTAAAGAAGACGTTGAGTAGGCAGATATATGTACAAATACAGGGTTCTGGGGAGATATTTGGATAGATATATAAGTTTGGGAGTCATCAATAGAGGACGTTTAAAGCTATGGAATTTGAAGAGAGCATCCCGGGAGAGTCTTTGGATACAGAAGGGATGGGAAGAGAAGGGAAGAAAAGATAAGGGAAGTTTGAGGATTGAGCCCTGGGGCACTTTAACAATTAGAAGTCAGGTAGATGAGAAGGAACCAGCAAAGGAGACTAAGACGGAGCAGCCAATGAGGAAGGAGAAAAATTTGAAGAATGTGGATCCCAGAAACCAAGTCAAAAAAGTATTTTAAGGAGGAATGATCAACTATGTCAAATGCTGAGAGATAAGGCAAATGGTGACTTCTAATTTAACAAAGGCTTTAATAATATGGAGGTAACTGGTGATC